CCCTTAATGAGAAACACAACTTTACTTCTAAGCAGGCAGTGAGGCTGGCAGAAAGCTGAAACCTGAAAATCAGCAGATACAGGGCTGCATACAGACCTTACTATTGAAATTAAGCCACATCCAAAACACAGGGGGTAGGACTCCAAATAGCTTCAGACAGCAGCCAGCCATGCAGGGCCCTCACCAGGCACCGGATGGACGCTCTCTGGACTCGTCAAGAGGCCCAGATCCCAAGTGCTCATTTCAATAACATAAGAAAATAAACATGGGGCTTATTTATAGCACAGGAAAGGGACTGGGGCAAAAGAACCACTCATCTGGTAATCCACCCTGACGGGGCCAGATACGATCCAGACCCCCAAGCTCTCTAGTAACAGGGTGAGCAGAAATAGGGGCCGGAAGAGGGCTGGCGGCCAGCATCACCAGGTACAACTCTGTAAAGGTCCTGGTTAAGAGAAGGAGAAAAGATCTCATGCATTCCATCTCACCATCCCGGGGCCTAAGTGCTCTTGCTACCTCCAGATTCGGGTTGAAGAAACTAAGGCATGGGAATGGACTCTCTCGAGGCCAAGGAAGGCTCAGGGTTCAACTTAAGGGAAGGTGCTATGAGAAGAGGAAATGGGAACATCCTTGCATCTTCCAGGCACCAGAAAAGATAGTGTTAATGGATTCTTCACTTACAGCTGGGACTAAAAAGTATGTGCAGAGTCCTCGGCTACTGACGGGTTCCCACCATCTTACAGAGCTCAGGAACTCCCACTAGAATTGGAGCGCCCTGAGCTCAGGACAGTGTCTTATTCAACTCTCTATTTCCTGGAGCCGGCACAGAGTCTAGCAAGTGTATTTTGATGAATGAATGATTAGAAAAAACAAACAACTGAATAAATGTTCTCTTACCTCACCTGGATCAAGTAAGTAGCTGGTTGTCCTTCAGCTGTGATTACCAGAAAACCAGACACTCCTTGAGTTTATTCTTGGGCATAGGTGCAAATGATATAAGTTGGTGGCTAAAAATAAAAGCCCAAGTAGATATATTCTGAAGGGAAGGCTATTACGGTGGCTTCCATAAGAAAACACTCTATATGGAGTGGCTGGTGGTTTGGGTCTAAGACATATGGACTCCAGTCCCTGCTCTGTTGGCAGATCTCACCCCATATGCAGCTCCTGAGAGGTTGCAGACAAGATGGAGCTCTGCTAAGAAACCTCTAGCAGACACAGCTGCCTGATAGCTCTCGAGAGCCACACAGGCATCCCTCCCTTTCTTTGTCTTCCACCTGACAGCTCTATACCCTTCAGGGGGACTGGGAAGAAATGCAATCAGGGGCCCAACTAGTTGGGACTAGAACAAAGAAAACTCTACCCTGAAAAGGTTGTAAATTTGTGGGAACAAAATGCCAGACACAGATGCTGGTGACTCAACTGTTTTCTTGAAAATGAGAGAGGCCTGGAAAGTTGGGAGGGTGGGGGGCCAACTCTGCCCAGTCATCTTCCCTGTCTTGTCAACAATGGTGAGCCTGAAATGAAAAGCCGTGGCACGGAGCTGCCTGTGCAGACCCACACCCCGTCCCCGGGAACCTGGAAGTCACAAAGCCTGAGACTGAAACCCCTGACTAGTCCATCTGACAGTGACAAAGGTGGATGAGAGGTTGTGGGTTGGGCTTAGAATGCTCCCACCCTAAAGAGAGGGGAAAACCTTAACACTGTGAGTAGAGTCCTACCTAACTTTTCTCTGCCAGGAGAAGATCAATGAAATCTGTTCCCAGGTCGTCAGACGATGCTTAGTGGGCACAATGGGGCCACAAGCTGTCCCTGATTATACTCAGAAAACGGTGTGTATCAAACACTGGCCTCAAATAGGAGCCCCAGGGCTTAGAACGGAGCAGGGCTGAGGTGAGTAGACAGGCCCCTGGTTTCATATGCCTGCAGGCCCTGCAGTGGAAAGCTCAGGTTGCTTCCAGAGTCTTCCTGGAGGGCAGCTGCATGCCAGGATGGTGAGCACCCCTGCCAGAATGGCCCCACAGGAAGTGGCTGAGAGGCTGGGCGCCAGTTTAGCACTCTGTCCCTGCCTTTCTGTGCCAGGGCTGCCTGGGGAGCAGCCTGCCACGGCTTCTGCTGCTGCAACAGGCTACCTGGGCCACAAGGGGTGGAAAAGGGAGCCTACCCCACAAGAAGCTAATGGCCCCAAAGCAAAGGAGACCCACTAGGCTCAGGATGGGTGGCTGACGGGGAACCTCTGTCAGCCCAAACCTCTCCCTCCCAGCTGGGCTCCCATGGGACCCTCTCACTGGCCAGCCACGAAGTCTCACCAAACCTGAGCCACTTCCCAAGTGGCCTCTGCCTTCAGCTACTTGTTACTTCTACCATCAAAGGGTCTTGGATTTTACCCTGGCAATCACACCTTCAGAGCCTGTGGCTAGAAACCTGCATCTGTCAGTGGTAGGAACACTCTGGCCAGAGACCACCATCCCAGGCAGCCGCTGGGGGCACCACAGGGTGATTAGTAGATCCTTCAACAAATCACAGCAAAGAGGCAGCTTGCCCCGTCCAGCTCCCAGTCCTGGTCAGCACACACCAGGATGATGCCTACTTCTTTCCAAAAGCAGCGGAGAAACTAGCCCGGAAAACCACAAGTTGGAAGCACAGCTGAAAGGACATGAGGCTTTGGCAGAAGAGCTAGGTAGTCAGAGTTGTGAACTTCACGACACTGAGTACGGAGAAGAGACAGTAGCACATCGTTTGCGGGAACGAACCAGAGATTCAGAGAACAGAAGCTGTGATTTTCCTCTTTAATTTTCCTAGAGAGGGAGGTTCTTGCCTAAACACATGTGAGGCTTGCTAAGATTTACAAGATAAGAATATGAAGAACTAGGTAATGTTAACCAGCAAAAAAGGGTTTCCAACCTGCATTCCAAGATGGCTCATCCCAATTAGGTCCCTGGGGGCAAAGGCGAGTGACTCAAGTGCACATTTGGGCCAGAGCCAGGGCCAGCTCAGGTTCATCTTCTGTTCAGGCCAGCAAGATGCAATTTCTTAAAAAAGATTTCTTAATCTAAAACCAGCTGTTGTCTGCTGTAGGCCAGAACATGACATTTTAATTAGCATTATTGTTCCGCTTCTGAAACCAGGCTCTGTGGCATCCCAAGGGCAGATGATCCCAGCCCAAGCTTATGGGTGAGGCTTGCTGGTGAGCAGCTCAGAAATACACGGAGAAGGGGGTGGAGTCCCCAGCCCCCTCGGAACCCCTGCATCATGACCACTGGCTGTATCCCTGCCCCGGATTTCTCCTTGTGGCCTGTACCACCTGTCTGTTCACAGGATACAAACGTTGAGGTTTCAAGTGCCAAGGATATACTACTCATTCTGTAATAGAAATCGTTCCATGCTATGTTGCCAGATTGAACCCGCAATATTTCTAGGAGTAGTGAGGTGCCTTGCATGGAGTTTCATGCCCCGAGAAGTCCAGTGACTCCTAAGAAGATGATAAAGTCACACAACACTGCCCCCCAGGGCTCCCAATCATCTCAGATTGAAATGTTTCTCTTCCAAAACGAAAGGGCTAACGACATTTTAAAAAAAGAAAGAGAAAACATTTATCCTCAGAGAGGGAGACCTGGATTACAAGGCAGCCACTAAGGCGGTGGATTCAGTGACATGAAAAAGAGCAGAAAACCTGAGGGGGCCAGGCTGAGGGGACGACATGCATACAACGTTGGCGCAGTCCTCGGCTGCTGGCAAGAATTTAAACGTGAGGCCCAACCCCTCCACCCACCCTGAATCTTGGGAGACAAGTTAGGGAACCCCAGAAAGGGCAGCAGTACTCACTGTCAGTGACAACAGAACGCCCCTTCTCTTGGTTTCTATCCTACCATCCCCAAGATTACGAATATGAGACTAAGCACCTTTCCATATCCCCTACTGGCGAGAATGTAATTATTCAAATCCACAGTATTTCTTAGGCACCAGTGTTTGAAGGCAACATGTTGGACAAATCACAGCTTCCGTGTCCGCACCTGCAACATGAACATACAGGAGGAGGCGGCATCTCGTCCCTTCCACCAGGAACAGTCCAGTGCTCGCTCTCACTCCTCATTGCGAGAGAAGATGAAACTCTCGCGATTCCCGCTGTCAATTCTGCTACTTCTTGAAGTTTTCTTTGACCTCTCAAAGTCTATGGGAACACAGCTGAAGTGACTCTTGTTAAAACTACAAGTTTAAAAACTGTAGCTTGGTAACTATGCACCTTCGTGTCACTCGAGAGAACAATGGGTAGTGTATGAGTGACTTCGACTGGTACACAGCTAGGTTTCCGTAATTATAACCATATTCCAGGCAAATTGTTATGTATTTTGTGTTCTGGGGACATATGTTATGGCTAAAGCCCAAACTGTGGCTAATCTTAATATTAGAGCCAGATAAATCTGTTTCGAATCCATAACATCTAACATTTGCCAGAGTAGATTTGTTCATCAACGGGGGCTTAAAGAGGTATACTTCACACATGTGCAATATTACTAAATGCTAAAATTTAACGATTTAAATATACCGGCAACTATTGTAAAGCGGTTGTTAGAGTAGCATTTAACATTAGCCAGAACCTCCCTGGCTAACGTTCAGTTTACACCGAAAGAATGAGGGAAATTCTGGCATCCCCTTGGGGTGGGGAATCACAACTCCCTCAACATTTACAGCATGGCACCAGCTAGCGCATCTCAGGGTATGGCTTTAGAAGGTCTCTGTTTTCCCTGAGAATACTCAGGGAAATGGACTGGATCTAATCAAGAAGCAAACAGATTCCTTTGGAGGTTTTGGGAGACATCTTCTCTCAGAATGTTTATAGTTTGGGGATCTTCTACTTGACACACATGGCCCCGGATACTCCTCCTGGCTATGTATCCTCCTAGACATGGACGGTAGACTGAAGTTAACCAGAAGATGGGGTTAACTACACACAAAAAAGAACGTTCCTTGGATTACCAATAATCAGCATTTCAAACATAGTATAAAAAGGAATAAAAAATTTTAATCATATCAACAAGCCAAACCAAAGAGGAATGGTTCATGGAACTTACAGGATCCCAATTCAGCACTCGGTGCTCTGCCTATGCATGGGCCCAGTGCCCCCGGTCCCAGGGCAGATGTCAAATCCCACGAAGATGTTGGAATTTTGCACCAAGTTCTTGGTTTGACTTTTCCGCCTAAAAAATCTCACTGATCTGAAACAGCTAAAGGTGAGATATGGGCGTGATCTACACGATTCCCCTAATCTAATATGGCCAGTAGGTTTGTCTTCTCCGCAGTCTTAGGGTCAGTGACGTTTCCTCCCAGACCGTTTTATTGGAACTGCAAACAAAGGGAGTCTGAGCTGGATTTAAACCCAGAGCATGCCACAAAGGCTTCACAAAGGTTGAAAATTTGGCATTTTCAACAAGAACCCATCGGAGGTCATAAGAAACACTAGAACAGGGCACACACCAATAAGGTGCTTAGACACTTTCTTTAGGTTCCGGTTCTTGAGGAAGCAGGTTAGGTGTCCCGGTCCAGCCTGTCAATCAAAGGTCCCCCACACGCTGATCTCAGAGTGTCGGGGAGGCCGTATTCTCCTCTGTCCAAGCTTAACATTCAGACCTCCGCTAGCGGCCTGTTTCATAAGCTGCCGATGTTGGGGAAGCTCTTCAGTTTCTCAGGAAAGTCGTCTTTGTACAGGACAGGGTCAGCTCGGTGCTCCACGACCTTAAGAGGCATTGTCCCAAAGACGGAAGCGAACTTGTTGATGCACTCAGACCTGAGGGGTTTGCGGAGGGGAGGTAGGTGATGGACGAGAGGGAAAGGAGTGAAGAAAACAGAGAAAATATTCAAGAGGCTGACAGATGAGAGCAAAACACATACTATTAGGTATCAACAAAAGAAATCCAAGAGTCCCCAGCCTGCTCCCAGGTTCTTACAAAAGGTTGGGAGGGTGTGGACAGCAGAAATGATCTGCGGGGACTGGGACTGTTGTTCAGGGGGAGAAAGTGAACAGGGGATGCTGTCTGGAGGCCACGGGCCTGCAGAGGTCAGAGTATCTTTTCCCTTCCCCCTCAAATTCCACTCATTCTTCCCCCCTCAGGACAAGCAGGCCTCAAACCAAGGTGGATTAGCTGCCAACAATTCTTAACCCCATGTCTGCCAGCTGAACTGAGAAGGCAAAGGGTGGAGAGGCTCCTGGATCTGAGCTCCAGCTTACTGAAGTTTAAAAGGCTGAGAGGAGGACCTTACACCTGGAGCAGTGGAAGGCAGATGAAGATAACAGGCGGGGAACCTCACCTCCAAACAATAAACCCCTCACTCACTCGACCAACAGTCATGGAGGGCAATCCCTGAACTGCCAGCCAACGGAGAGCTGCCGTTCCCATGTCAGAGCGAGCAGCGCCCTCAGGCTTCGTGACAGAACAGCCCCACAGCTCTGTGGGAGGGGAGACGGCACTGTCCTTGCCTCCAAACCACCCCTGGAGCCCGTGAGCAACCTCCTCAGAGGTGAGCGGGTCAGGCACGCTGGCGGGAAAGGGTTCTGGTCAATCAGGCCAACTGAGTGTGACAGCTGGGAGGACGCATCCAGACCAGAGAGGAAAAACAAGCCCGTAAACATGGCTTTTGAAGTTAAGGGGACCTCCAGGATGGATTTCAAAAAGGTCAGTACTGTCTCCCCTCAAGTCAGGCCCAGGCACCCGAGAGCTACAGTAAGAACAAGCCAATCAGGCAGAACCATTTACCCAAGAAGGGCTGAATTTCAAGACACAGACCAGAAAAGTCTCTTCTGTCCTGAGATCCTGGAAGCCTTGTTTCCAATTGTTTTAATCCACAAGTTTTTGAGTCTCTGGAGCTTTAGGAAGAAACCAATTAATAAAGAAGCCAGTCATCAATTCTTTTCTCTTGGTCCTTATGTTTCTAAAAGAATGTGTTACCATTTCATTTGGAGCTCTTCTAGCTAATAACACCACTGTGTCCACCACCATAAGTCAACAGTGAATATGTATCAGAGGTTCCAGGCTGTGTTACAAGTGCCCCACGTAGATTAGGAACCCCCTCCATCATGCCAACAACCCTATGGGTAAGTCCTATGATTATTCCCATTTTCCACTGGGAAGATTGAAACATGGAGAAGCATGTAACATATCCAAAGGTCAAATAACAATAAGACGCAGAGCCAAACCCAGGTAGTCTGGCTCCTGAGACTAAAAAATCTTAATGATGAGATGATACGAATTTATTTGTCAACCTAGTTCCAGAGTCCAAGTGGAGGGGCTGGAAATTAACTGTTGAGCACCTATTACGTGCCAGATAACTTACAAACATGATTTCATGGATTCCTTAAAGCAGCCCCCTCGATATGCCCAAGGGCTGGTTTACAGTAGCTTCCTCTTACCGCCTGAGCAGTTAAAGCTGAGGCCCGAGGCCCCTGAGCTGGAAAGTGCTGGAGCTGGGTCTCTAACGCAGGTCTACACTGGCAAGAGAGCCTTTGTGCTTTCCGTCACACTACTATAACTCACAGGTAACGGACCTTCCCTCCTGCCGGCAGTCTTGTGAGACTCAGGAGGTGGGTGTCCAAGGTTATCCCGGGAAAGACCGAGGAGTGTCCGCAAAGGGGTACCGAGTGAGCACAGCGACTCCCCACTCCTCCAAGGATAGGGTCAAGGCAGTGGCAGACACAGTCAGTCCCTCCAAGGTCTTCCTTTTGGCAGCTGTTCTGTCTACAAACATGTACGGATTCTTCTAGTTTCCAGTCATCGTGCCTGTAGACACTGGCCAGCAAAGGCCAGCCATGTCCAGCACAAGTACCAGTGAGCATGTATTAAAGAAGAGCCATGGTTCTTGGCAGAGGACAGTGGCTCCACAGCCCGCTGGAGCGCAGCGAGGACAATGTCTCCTCTGTAACCAGATCTGCCAACAGGGCCGGGCCATGGGCAAGAGGCCACTGGGGCTCAGGCCAGCTGACTTGTTGACAACTGCCCCTGGCTAACCCAGGCCTGGTGAGTGCTTCTTTTCTCTCCACACAGCCTGCACTGGAAAAGCCGCTGGCCACTGAGGGGTAAAGGTCCTTAACGCTCCTGCCAGGTACTGACAGTTCCTACCTTCTTTTCACACAGGGGGTCTGGGTTGGGCCACAGGCTGGGGCAGACGGTGAGCTGGGCTGGTTGCTGGTGGCTCACCTGAGTTGTTCTGTCAGGGGTCCAGCCACCCTGTCAGTAAATGCTCCCCCAGGTTGGTTTTCTAATCTAGTACAAATGGGCTAAGAACTGCCAGTGTCTACCTCTGAAGTGCTAGAAGTGTCTGCGGGAGAAAGGACTCATGGTTTTCTGTTTTCCTTGTAAACACATCCAATCACCTAAAGTAACCTGGAGCCTTGAGGACTAATGCTGGGGAAACTGGGAAGGAGACTCATGTGGCCCGGCATCAGGTTACGGGCTTTCCAATGTTATTACTTCATTCATCTCCAGCACATAGCACAGTGTTTGGTACAAAGATGCTCAATAGGGATTTGTTGAACCCATGAATGGATACTGTAATTTGATAGATATTAATATACCTATTTTAGGAGATGAAATGACTGGAATTCAGGGTAAGGCAAATCAGTTTTCTTAAGTCAAATAGCTACTAAGTGGCAAACCCATAATTTGAACAAAGATGGGCCTGAATCAAAATACAATGTTCTTTTTCCTAAGATCAGCACTGTCTGTCTGCCATATTGCCTTAACATGGTGAAACGACTGGTCAAAATGAACAGTTACAAAGACTTCTGGTTTTCTGGTTCTTAAAGAATTAACAGTAGATCCTGGAAATGGATGCTGGGCAGTAAAAGCTACACTCCTACACAACTGAGATTTCTGCTCCAAGACCCCAAATATAAGAATAAATAAGCTTATTAAACCACAAAACCTAACACAAGGTCCTAACTTGCAAAGTGGTTAACTTTTTTCACTGTTTTGTGCAAAATGGGAATTCTGCAAAGGGAACTATTAAAAAACAAACAAACAAACAAAAACCAACAAATGAACAATTCTACAGCTGTAACTCCATCTCTTGGTCTACCCAAGATGGCTTAAATCATGCCTTCCTCCCTCCCGATCTAAGTGCCTCATTTAATAATTTAGTGATTTAATCTTTAATCCAAATAGTTTTGCTCCCAGTTTCTGATTTCAAGACTGATGTTCTCTGTTCCGTAATCAAATTTCTCAAAAGCGTATTCTACATTCACTAACTCCACTTCCTCACACAGACGCACACTCCATAACCCATAGGCCCCATTACTCTATGGCATTATTTTTTTTAAGTCACCACTGACCACTTAACTCAAAGCCCCTTTCCCCAGTCTGCATGTTCTGTGCACTTCCATTGCTTCCGTGCACTGTAGATCCTGCTTCTCTCCTGGCCTCTCCAGTGGCTGCTTCTGTTTTCAGTTATTCTTTCTGTCTCCAAAATGTCAGAGCTTCTCAAGATTCTGCCCTTGCCTTTTCTCCAGGCAATGGCCATCTCTGGGCAGATGTCTTTCCAATATCTACCTTTGTTTTCATCATTTTCCTGAAGGTCTAGTTCCATGTTTCCAAACGCTTGCTCCGTATCTACATCTGCACATACAGAGGGAAAGACCCCCAAATCTTCACCTACCTTACTGCTCTCCCACTTCACCCATGATTCAAATCTCCCCCTGTCCTCATTAAGTACACTGCTAAAGGTGCAACCATCCACATCCCCTCCTCATTAACCGGCGTCTCCTCCTAACTCTATCATTCACACTGTTGATGGTACTACCATTCTTCCTGACTTGAGATCTAAGCTCCCTCTGTCAATTCCTTCCCCATAACCTCAAGTTCTAGCATATCTTCCGTTGGAAAAAAAAACAAACAAAAACCAAAAACCCACGTCTTATAATTTAATCCATCCCTTCCTTTCCACACTCAACTTAGTTCAAGCTTTCCAAACGTGCTTTCTTCAATTTCTTTAGCTTCATTCCATTGTGTGCACTACTTCTAAGTGAATCTCAAAACAATACTTTGATCAAGCTCCCCTTGAAGGTTCAAAAACCTTCAGTGGTGTATCAGAGCCTGAAGAAGTAAGGGCAGTTCTTTAGGGCCCAGCACCAACAGGCCAGAATTCTACACTCTAGGCAGACTGGACTCCTGACTGCTTGCCAGATTCACCTTCATCCTGATGACTGGAACCTTCGGCCACCCAGTCTCCCCTGCCTGCGATCTCCTCTTTTTGCCCAGTGATCCCAGTGATCTCTGAAGGCTGACTTCAGGCGCCATCTCTTTACAAAATTATTCCTAGTAATCAACCTAGCGAGAAGTCACTTCTCTTTCCCCTGATCAACGATAACATTTGGAGCTTCCCTTAAGGCACTTATCACATATAGCTTTGGATTGGTTTTGGTTTTTTTGTTTTTTTTAAATTTATTTATTTGACAGAGAGTTATAGAGCACAAGTAGGCAGAGCGGCAAGCAGAGGGAAAGGGAGAAGCAGGCTCTCCGCTGAGCAGGGAGCCATTGCGGGGCTCGATCCCAGGACCCTGGGATCATGACCTGAGCCGAAGGCAGCCGCCCAACCGACTGAGCCACCCAGGTGCCCCTAGCTTTGGATTGTTAACATGCGTATTTGTTGTTGTTAATTATAAACTCTGACAGAATCTTATTCAAAGCCTAACGACATCTGGGCAGTGGCCTATTCTATTTTCAAAAGCCTATTCCCAAGAGGAAGCCCCCACATCTCCCTTAGTTACTTTCTTCAATGTTCAATAATAATTCTGTCTAACTTAAATCTCTCTCACTGCATGTTAAGTCTCTTTACATTTGTTATCTCAGTGGTGCTAGAGAAGAGTTGTTTAGCCTTAGCATGAACTGCAAGGCCACCATCAGGCCAACCTTTCTCCCTAAGATTCCTATCTTATACAATATAACACCATTTTAACTCAGCCCAATCAATTACCCAATAGCTCAATGCCATGAGTTCTCCCAAACACAAAGAATGGAGGTAGGTTTAGTAACAGTTTCAGGTACTCCAATATAACTATAATCGGGGTCTCTTCTAAATGAGCTATGACAGTTAATGTCACTGCCCTTGACTGTGTAATTCCTATGATACCAGTGACAGATATCTCTAAAATCATATATTATTTCACATTGACAGTTGATAAAAGTCATGTCATTTGGGTAAGATATTTATATATGAAAGAGTAAAGGGGGCGCCTGGGTGGCTCAGTTGGTTAGGTGACTGCCTTCGGCTCAGGTCATGATCCTGGAGTCCCGGGATCGAGTCCCGCATCGGGATCCCTGCTCGGCGGGGAGTCTGCTTCTCCCTCTGACCCTCCTCCTCTCATGCTCTCTGTCTCTCATTCTCTCTGTCTCAAATAAATAAATAAAATCTTTAAAAAAAAAAAAAAAGAGTAAAGGATTATTTAGAGGGTAAGAATAAGAAATAAGGAGGAGGAAAGCATCATAGAAGAATCCAGGCCAAGTGAAACAACTTTTTGTACAAGAAAATCCTCCAGGCTTTAAAGACTTGAACAGGGCGGATACGCTTTAGAAATGGACGTGGCAAGAAGATCCATATGAGCCTGTGGACACCTGACTAGATATCTTATTCTATAAGGGCTACTCCAGCACTCTCTGAGTGCGCCCTGGTCCCTTGACAACAGTGTCACTGGATGTCCGAGCTTGCTGTCTCACATAAGGAGCTGCCTTTTGGGAGAATTAGGTTTGATTCAGGAGATGCCAAGCTTGGGGACCCTTGGGGTACAAGTGAGAACGATGAGGCCTACTCTAGGATTATAAGGGTCCTGAGGGAGGATGTACACCTCCCGTTTGTTTTACACCACTACAAGGCTGAAATAAAAGGAGTATCTCAGAGCTGCCATGTTCCCCCCGCTCTCTCTCTCACTCTATAATGGAAAGAGCTGTGCTTTCAATTCTGTTCTTGGTAGGTGTTTTGGTCAGCAAAGGTAATTTGTCTCTGGGTTTGGCTAAATTCTTTCTAACCAAACTTTTACTGTCACATGGAGATACTATCCTGCAGAACAATCTAGTATTTTCTTGGAATTAACTAGCTTCCACTCAAATGACTGTGGACGGTTAACTGCTTAGTCCACATGGAGAATCCGACTTCTGGAGCTTAAGGCCAGCTATATTTTTAAGACCCTTCCAGCCATTACAAATCGAGTGAGTAGCATTCCAAATTAATTCTTTGAGTGACCTGGGCTTGAACTAACCCAATTCCCACAGTGCAAAAGGAGGTGACTATGGCTACCAGCTGCTGTCCTTATATCTCCAACAAATCCCATAAACAGGCCCAAGGCAGGAAATGGGGATCAGAGGCTAGGGCAGACTTCTGGTTAGAGCTCACTCACCTCTCCACCATGTGCGTCTGGTCAAGCGAAAGCCCATCGATGGCTGTGCACTCAGGACACTTGAATTTCTTTCGTGGTGTTACCTGCCAGAGAAGTACAAAAATATACCTGGTTGTCAGTGCCAAGGACAATAAAATCATGCTTGTGACACCACTGTGCACGCTTCTGTTCTGTAAGCTGAGCTGCCTGCTCCCTCCACATGCATACAAGCGCCCGTATATGGGCACGCGCATGCGTGTGCGTGCACGCACACACACGCACACAGACACACACACCTCACCATTCCTCCATTCAATTCTGTCTGGCTTGGCCAACAGCAGAACTCACAAGGGCCCAATAAAAAAGGCTTGGAGGGCTTTTGCCTTCTGTAACTAGAAAGAAGTGGTGATGACAAGCTCCTTAATTCCTGTTTAATGACTGTTTTCTCACTGCCAAGGTCCTTGTATAAACACCATTTGTTCTTGCAGCCATAAGGGCGATGAAATACAGCTTCCCATAACTTTCACCGTAACCTTAGTTCCAACAGACACTCTTTTTCCTTCTTCCAGCTAATGGCAAATGCTACGAGCAGTGCCATGCTCTTGAAGATGCCAGGTTATTTTGCAATTCCTTTCAATCAGGAAAAAATCCAGTGGTCCCCCTCACCCTCTGAATTCTTTTCCCTGACTCTCCCTCCTGCTCTCCCAGACCTTAAACTTCTAATGATTTTCTTAGCAAACCCAGGGAGACCATTATCCTAACCTAGTGAAGCTAAGTAAATAGTAGCGGATGGGGGGTGGGGGGAAAGAGAGAAAGCTAGATACCTAAGGCCAGGCTAAGAAGTACACAGATGGCGGAAGGACTGTCCAGAGTAAGCAGGCACAACTAAAAATATCTTGAAGCATATCAAAAAGCAATTTTGAAGATAAGAGGGGTTCCTTTAAAACTAGGTTTGTGATTTACATTGCTTCACTTTTTCTTGCAGTGAGTGCTGAGTCAGAGGGCTGGGGCAGGGTGAGGCCCGGACCAAGTTTGCAGAGCACAGACAGGGACTCTTCCTCTTTCCTCGGTCACTTTGGTTTAATCCAACTTCTCCCATCAATTCATAGCATGAACAATCAGTGGGGAATGCCATACCACACTTCCAATGTAAGCTTCCAGTATGGGAAGACTCCAGTATAGGAATCTGGCCTAGAAGCATTGCCCATTTTTTATGGAATCCTAATCCAGACGGAAAAAGGGTCAGGACAATTCCACTCATAAAAAGAAGTAAACTCTCTTTGTATCTGGGGATCTGGTTCAAGCAAAATCTACATTTCAGGAATAGACACCCATTACAGATACAGAGATCCCCATGTGATCCTTATGTACTCTCAGCTTTTAATTTGTTATGGGAAAGGTACTTTCAAAAACTGGTGATTGATATTTAAAAACAATGTTTAGAAAAACTACAGTTGTAACTGGATAAGGTGTACTTATCTTCTCAATGTCTTTAAAAATAAAAACCAGCCACCTTAAGAGAGATTTAAGTTGCATTCTTTAATAGATCTAGATTCCAAATCAGATTTGAGAATACTATTAAAGGTTTTTAAAAACATGATTTGTAGATTGACCATCGCAGCCTTTATCTCTGATACTGGAGATTAAAAACTATAACTAAAGAAACCATATAAAAAAAGAAAATATGTTTAAATTATCAAAGCCTAGCTTTAATGTTACAATGTGACTGGATCAATCACAGAATCTTAAAGTTAAAAGGGAGCTTAAAGTTCATGTAACCCAACGCTTCGTTTATATTTCAGAGAACGTCTCAGGCTCCGAGAAACAGAAACTTGCACAAGATCATGAAGTTAGTGGCAGACCTGGACCGGGATGTCTCACCTTGATGACGGCTTTCCCCGTGACGTTAGCCACCAGGAAATTCATGGCAATGTCTTCACAGTTCATATGAGCATCCACCCAGTTCTTGATATCCCCAGGCATTTTGTAGGTATATAGGTAATTAAAATACTGTCAGGTGAGACAAAAAGAAGAAAGATTCAAATAGCAGTGCCCCGTGGTTGACAGTCAAAGGACAACTTAATCATGGCATGGGGACAAGCTTTCTCTTGTAGGATTAATCACAAGGCTATAAGAAGTATTAGAATGCTTTTGGTCAGATGACCAAGATTCTTTCACACTGTCATTCTTTTAAAAATCACCTATTATAAGCAGAGGAGAGACAGAGTGTGAAGCCCTTGTAGGATGCAGGCCTTCCGGACTCGTGTATCATATGTTTAATAAATAAAATCTCAGTCAGAGACACACTGCACACTGATCTCTACTCTGTTCTTCTCTTGAGCCACAGTGCTCAATCCTGTGTTCTACGTTCTGTCCTGGAGAAAACAGACCGCAAAGAGAAACAGAGAGAAACTCCTGATGCACTGACACTGCAAAGGTGTGTGCTTTTTAAAGTAAAATGAGGCCCAATTCCGTTTTTTTTTAAAGATTTATTTCAGAGAGAGAATGTGTGTGCGTGAGGAGGGGGAGGGGCAAGGGAGAGAAACCAGTAGGCTGGCAATGGAGCTGAGCGTGGAGCCCGATGCAGGGGCTCAAATCCAGGACCCTGAGATCATAACCTGAGCCGAAATCGAGAGTCAGACGCTCAACCCACCGAGCCACCCAGGTGCCCCAAAATGAGGCAGTTCTGAAGCTGCCATAACCTATATGTATGAGATAGTACAGAAATTCGGGGAGGGGGGGACTGTACACAGTGTACATCCATAAACCCCATGAATTATAAACCTCACTTACTATTGCTAAGAACAAAAACCCATTTCTGGATTGAGAGCTGTTAAAAATACAGAGCAGGGCTGAGAAACCAACACGCATCACTATACCACCGCTCGGCTCCGTGCAAGGCACTGGGGCGGCCAGAGATGCAGAGGAGACTCCAGCCGGCAGCACCTCGTGCCGCCACTGACAACGGAGCCCGCATCACAGCTCAAGGCAGCCACGCTCTGCCAGGGGCACTCCAGCCTCAACCTGAATGTTCTAGAGTCCCAAGCATCCTCTTTCAATCCCTCCCGAATAAAAGTCAAAAACGTGAAGTGACAATTCTCAGGAGAGGAAATACACAAAAGGAATTTCAACCACAGTACTCAAATCAAAGTGGAAACAGTTAGGATCCTTTTTCACTTACCGAAACAGCTCAGTCTGATTTTCCCTTTTTACGTATTTCATGCAAGCAGGGGTTATAGTAAGACAGTTCTATATTTTGTTGGTGGGAGTATAAACTGGCATAAACAATACTGAAAACAAGGGACATATATATATCTCGAAACCTCCCCAAAATGTTCAGTCCCTTTGACATAATTCTACTTCTAGAAATCTATCATAATGATCACAAGTACAAACAGTTATGAAAATGGATATTAATCACTACTTAAGCGTTAGCTATTAAGCATTATCTTAAATAGCCAAAAAATTTTGAGACAATCTAAATATCCAGTGATAGAAAAATAGTTACACATGATTTATGGATATTAGTACCACAGCATATTAGCAATTATGTTATGAAGGAATGCTATTAAAAAACTCATAATACATGGAAAAAGCAGGCTAATGAGCATGTTTACAACTGTCTGTACATGTGAATAAGTGAATAAAAGGCAAACTGAAGATAACATCTATACAATAACAATGGTTATCTCTAAGTAATAGGACTATGAGTGACTTTTGAGTGTGTGTGTGACTCTTCTTATATGGTAACATTTGTTATGAATTTTCCATATTGTCTATTATGAGCATGCATTATTTATGTAATAAGAAAAATAACTTTAAACCATCACACAACATAACCTTTCTTTTTTAACGGCAGCATAGCTGGTGCACTCGACAACATGGTCTCTGTAGGCCCTCTGAGGAGGACATTTTTCCTAAACTCAGCAGAAATTCAACTGGGCCACACAGAACACGTGTCATGCGTGCAGTTTTGTCACCTCAGATCCACTTACCCAGCCTGCCCCCCCCACCTTACCTTGTGATAAAAAGCTGCCCCCGTGAGCACCATGGACACCTCATTGGTCCACTCAGACTCATACTTCCACTTATTCATCTCGTGGTCCCAGAGGTGCAGACGGCCCGGGTAACCCACCAAGCGGTCAGGAAACTCCCGCCAGACCTGAGGAAGAAACACATCCAGTTCAGACAGAGACCAAACATAGTGCTCCGTCACCCAAACGGTACAAACTCCCAGAGCCAGCTCTTCACCAGCTAAGGTTGGGATGGGCTTCTGAAGAGGTTTCCTTAAACAGGGGCTAGGTATTCTATCAATATTCAAAGACAGATGTGGATTCTAATTTACTCCAAATCCTCCTGCTGTTGCTGGGAAATTTCAAGTCATGTAGTAACAGCTCACTTATTTGGGCCAAGGTACGTACTCTCTTAACTAATGATGAAGGAAACAGGTGCCATTCTTTTTTTTTTTTTTTTTAAGATTTTATTTATTTATTCATGAGAGAGAGAGGCAGAGGCAGAGGGAGAAGCAGGCTCCCCGCGGAGCAGGGAGCCCGATGCGGGACTCGATCCCAGGACCCTGGGATCATGACCTGAGCTGAAGGCAGATGCTTAACAGACTGTCCCCATTTCTAGTAAATTTGGCGATTGTGAAAACTTAGTCTCTGTTTCTAAAGATTTATTTATTTATTTATTTATTTAGAGAGAGCGAGCAAGCAAGCGGTGGGGTGGGGCAGAGGGAAAGCCTTAAGCCAACTCCACACCCAGCACAAAACCTGATGTGAGGCTCCATCTCATTACCCTGAGATCATGACCTGAGCTGAAACCAAGAGTTGGACACTTAACCGACTAAACCATCCAGATGCCCCAGAAAGTCTGTTTCTAAAACAAATGTTTTTAAAACCCTAATTCCCTGGAGCACACAGTCATCTTCATGACCTTTTAGAAGCCTCATGTATAGAGAACGTGTCTGTTCCTATAATCTGTAACATACTGAAAACAAAGACTTGATCTCCATATTTGGGAAGGCTCTTAAGATACAGTTTTATGAAACAGAATCTGGTATACTGGGGGTGGGGTACTTCCAGTATTTTTCCCCATGTATTTCTGTATAATTTAGTTCAACCTTAATTGAAAGAAGAGTAAGTTCGTGCCTTTAAGGAGCATTGACAACTTAGCAGCTGTTCATGGTGCCACGTCTCAGCAACCATGATTCCTTATCCTTTACCGGGCCTCTAAACAACAGAGCTCCTGAGGGTCCAGTCCTGTGCCCTAGTCTCTTCTTTAAACAATCTGAGTCATTTCAACTAGTTTCAATCACTTTTAAATAACTTCTCTACTATACTGACCTCTAAATTTGTTTGGCCCAGAATGTTCCTGAGAAAACCAACTACTTAATACCTTCAACTGGATAAACAATAGGCATCTCAAACTTAACATGTCCAACGCGTAACTCGAGTCCCTATCCCTGGATAAGCCATTCTCTCAATCCTCTCCATCTCAGTAAATCATCTACCTGACTGCCCCAGCCAAAAAGCTACAAGTCAGTCTTTATACCTTCCTTTCCTTCTTCCTCACACCCCATCCATCAGCAAGTCCTGCTGGCTCTACTTCTGACCACCTCTGGCCAATTCTCCCACCCCTCTCTCTAGCTCAAACCACCATCATCTCTCACCTAGACTGTTGTTATCAGGCCTCTAACTCATGTCCTTGCTTCCACTCTCGCCCTTCCAAACCATTATTTACATAGTATCTCTAAAAGGACTTTCCTAAAAGAATATTAGAGAACAGATGGTCCCTAACTGATAATAGCTCAACTTACGATTTTTCAACTTTACAATGGTAAAAAAGTAATATGCATTCAGTAGAAACCTACTTTGAATTTTTGAATTTGGATCTTTTCCTGGGCCCATAGTATGTGGTACGATCCTCTCTCATGATGCGGGGCACTGGCAGCGAAGCAGCTCCTAGTCAGCCCCACGATCACGAGGGTCAACAATCAGTACACTTAAAACCAACCTCTACTCAGACAACTCTTCTGTTTTTGGCTTTCAGTATTCAATAAATTACAGGAGATACTCAATACTTTATTATTATAAAATAGGCTTTGTGTTTGATTTTGCCCAACTGTACGCTAATGTAAGTGCTCTGAGCACTTTTTTAAAAAAAGATTTTTTTTAATTTATTTATTTTAGAGACAGAGAGAGAGAGAGAGACAGCATACAAGCAGGGAGAGGAGCAGAGCACAGAGCCGGACACGGGTCTTAATCTCATGACCCTGAGATCATGACCTGAGCCAAAATCAAGAGTCAGATGCTTAACTGACTGAGCCACCCAGGTGCCCCAACTTACAATGGGTTTATCGGGTAACCCTCTGCTAAGTTGAGAAAGATCTGGTTAAGGGTAACTCAATGAACAGGCTGTATCCTATTTTATGTGTGTGTGTGTGTGTATATAAATATATATATGTATTTTAAATTAGTATTATCTTTGTCACATATTTAGCCACATATATATAAGTCGTATGGTCATGCGCTGCAGCAAGTGGAGGCTTCCCCAACGCCCACATGTCACTGAGTCCAGGGACGATGCATCATTGCTTTCCCCAGGGCAGAGCCAGTTGCCAGCACCCCTTCCCTTCTGTAGTTTGCTAGGGATACTGTAACAAAGTCACCACACCAGGTGGCTTAAAACAACAGAAATCGAGACGTCTAAAATCAAGGTGTTGGCGGGGTCATGCTCCCTCTGACACCTACAGGGGAATGATCCTTCCTAGCTGCTTTCTAGCTTCAGTGGTTGGCTGTCAATCGTGGGCATTCCTTGGCTTGTAGATGCATCACTCCTAACCTCTGTCTTCATATGGCCTTCCTCCCTCTGTGTGTGTGTCTGTGTCCAAATTTCTCCTTTTTACAAGGATACCAGTCAAAATGGATTAGGGCCCACGCTAATGACCTCATTTTAACTTGATTACCTCTAAAGAGATCCTATCTCCAAATAAGGTTACTAAGGGTGAGGATTTCAACATAACTTTTTAGGGGGACACACGTCAGCCAATATCCCCCAAAATCTTTAAGAACTGTTCCACCCCTGAAACAAAACAAAAAATGGATTCCCGCTGACCAAGAATAATAGCCGAACTCCTTAGCGTACTCTAAAGGGCCCAGCCACTCCCTCAACCTCTCCTCTTACCACATTCTCCCACACTTCAGTGGACTCTCTGTTCTGGAATCATGACCGCTGCTTCTATTTCTTCTGCCAGGAATGTTGTCCCAGCTCTTCAGAAAGCTCATTCTTGCTCATCAGTCAGGTCTCTGCTTAAATGTCACCTACTTTCGAGAGGCCTTTTCAGCCTTTCCTACCCAAGGTGAACACTGTCTCCCTCCCAGCCATTCTTCATCACATCCTCTTACCCCACCCTTTCCTTCACCAAACTTTCATTTTTTGGAATTGTTTTGGTTATTTACTGTTTCCTTATTTATCACCTATTTTCCTCCCACAGAATTTAATCTCCATGAAGACAGAGGCTTCGTTTTGTTCCCTGCAGTTTCCCAAGCACAAAGAGCAGTGCCTGCACAGGATAGCAGTCCATACACACTCATGGAATGCACGAATGGGCAAAATCTCAGCAGGCAAAAAAGCTGAGACTAAAAGAAGGGACTGAAGATGCTTTCTCTTTCCCTCACAGGCCGAGCCAGTGTTCTCCTTAATTCAGAAAGGAAGTCCGCGACAGTACTGATCAACGGTTACCATTAATAATAATGTGATATCCTTTGCACGTGAAGATCACAGTAATAATTCACCATTGCTAAAGCACATGTTTTATACTGCTTTTCCAGAAGCGGGTAAGGGATATCCGCTGAGTCATTACACCGCCCTCCCTTAGTCCTCCTGTGATCGTCCACATGCTTTTATGGGATATCTGACCTGGGTCTTGAGCGTGGTCTGGGGTTTCCTTTGCGTGAAACCAGTTCACGTACCAGGCGTCTCAAACCCACAGCCTTGGCCTCATTAAACACCATGTTGTACCCAACAGAGTTAATCAGCCACAGCCGCCATCAGAAGAGCTGCAGACAAACGAAGCCATGTCAAACATTTCCTCAGATGCGTGAGGCTACTGCTGTGTTCCTACTCCGGGGTTTGGATTTCAGTAGATTAAAATAATATGATACTATTACAGTTTTACAGAGCCCAGAGCGACAACACAGTATGGGAGCCGTAGCTTCTGTTTGGTTTGTGGGCCCGGGCATACTCCATTAAAGGCACTGCCAGCTTCCTTTCGTCAGCAGCGAGCACCTGCCCGTTCAAGTCACACTGGTACCACAATGCACGGTTCCCCTGCGTGGAATTACAGAGGTTCTGAAAGGCTCCAAGCACAAGTCACTACACTACCCACCAGGGATGGGCGCGGTGGGGGGAAAGGGCTGGGTGGGACAGGGAGGCATCCATTCCGTTGGCACCCCTCCTGGACGGAAGCCGCATTTCCTCCACCCCGAGGCTACTTTTGAGTCTCCAATCTGTGCACCTTCCCAAGGGTCCTTCTTTTCAAGCCCCTGTTTGCAGCAACCCTAACAACACAGGCTCCGTTTTAGGGTCAAACCCTGTTAGGATTTCAGTCTTCTTCCTGTTAGCTGAAGCCACTTATCAGACTTCTCTCCACAGGGACTTAATTGGGTGACACTGGGTCACAGAATGCTAAACTATGCTGTTCTAAAAGCATCAGAGGTGTCCTGAATTTCAGACTCCTTCGGAGCCGTTAGTGAGCGCTGTTCCTCAGGCGGGGCCTCTCTGCCCTTGACTTACTCCAGGCAGCTGGATACAATCAAGATACCATCCTTGTCACTTCATCTATAACTCTGCAGCTGACTACGGGATCAAAACGGAGTAGAGCCAAGCAGGATGGGCCCTCTCTAATCGAGTCCCAGTGTAGCACGAAGTCGATTATGTAGACAGTAAAGCATCTTCCCAGCCAGAAGAGCGAGAACTCAAATTCCACCCCCTCTCCTCATGACTACCCCCCTCCCACTCTAATTCAGCTTTTTTCTTTTTACCTCATGGAAATGCTCTGGGGTCAGCCTTTTGTCATTACTAACAGATGCCTTTATATATTGCAGTGCGGGCATCTGAAACCTTACATTCTATCCCTGGAGTTCTAGTACTAGTGTTCCA